ATTACAATGTTAACACCAATAGATACACAAACGTAAACAAGTTCAAATAGTCGCATAAAAACAATAAAGCTGTATAGTATCACCTGATAATTAAGATTTTACACAGAATCTTGTCCCGCAGTGGACTGATCGTTAAGACACGGTTCCCAGCAGATTACCGAAGTCAAGCATCACTGGCTGCGGTCAGTGTGCGGGTGGGTGACCACTTGAATCAGTCTGCGTAGGGACCGAGAGTGTGCGGTATGGGTCCCCGTTAAACTGTTCTACAGTAAAGTGCCCGACTTCGCGCGCAGGTCGTCGGGCTACCGAAGTGGGGGTGCCATCCCCTCCGCAGAGGTTCAAAGTTGTGATGGCATGTCTTCGGATCATCCTCAAGGATGTTTCCCAGACCGTCGCCAATAGCCCATGGTGCAGCTCTAGTGCGACGTAAATGAACTACGACAACAACAACAAAGAATCTTATAGTGTGTCGAATAATTCGGCCAGGAACTGTATTGTGCTTTCTAATAATACTATATCTCCAAATGCTCGCTAAGTACAAAAATATATGAAGTCCACTTAATACTTCCAAATTGATATTCTCAAGGGATCAGGAGAGGAAAAAAGTTTTGTCCAAATATCTGTTCACCGATTGTCCTAGTAGATCATCGAAGTCAAATATCAGTGACCACTTGATCATCCTGCCAGGATCTATCCTAAACACTTGATTTCACGGGCAGGTAGACTGGCTACCAAAGCCATCCCCTCTGCAGAGGATAAAAAATTGTGATCTTGATCATCTTAAGGATGTTTCCCAGACCATCACAAATGGCCCAATGTGCAGCTCTAGTGTGAGGTAAGTAAAGGACTACTACCAAAGGAAAAGGGGTCGCGCTTAGAAACGCCAGAAGTACAGTAGCGATGGCAGCGCCGCCCGTGTGTTTTATGAATTAGGGACAGCTGAATGTCCCACATACTACGTGCAACCGATTAACCAGTAAATCTAGAGCATTTTTAGTGATTGCAAAGTTGTGCTAAGATAAATGCGTCCAAAACAGAACGAGAGAGTGAACGTAATGATGTGGACCTTTATGGCGAACATTGTTTTGGATAAACTGCTGTAAACAAATGGTTTAAAGGCTTTCGTAAAGCACCCTCATCAATAAAATTCATGCAAATGAATACAATCTTGATGATAGAGCTGTGATGGCTCAGGGGATAGAGCGTTCGCCTTCCAATGAGGTGAATCGGGTTCGAATTCCTATGATGGCTTGTCGATATAAAATCCGCTTCCGGCTTGCACCAACCACAGTGCTGACGTAAAATATCCTTAGTTGTAGACGGATCATGGGTTAGAGTCTCCTGGCCGTCAGGCTAACCGTGGGAGCTTTTCGCCGTTCTCCTCTCTCTGTAATACAAATGCGGGTTAGTTCCATTGAAAAGTCCTCCACGAAGGCAAATTTCTCCCAATACTTGATCCAGGAGTTCTCTTGTCTTTAGGATTGGGTTCAAAATTACAACGCTACGATGTTGAATATAAGTAGTCGTAAACCCAAAAATTGGGCCGGCTGTTCAACGACGGTTATAAAATAAAATAAAATCTTGATGATTCTGTTAGGAATTATGGAAGAGTTAAAACTCGTAACATGAGAGAAGGTAAATTGATTGGGCAATTAATCTTCTTCCCTAGAAGTCCTACTTCTACACATTCTTCTGTTCTTTATGCTCTTTTTTAGCTTGACTTTACATTCTCTTCAAATGCTCTCACACTTAGAGGTGCACTCTTTTTACTCAAAATGGGATGCCATTGTAATTCTGATAGAAACAGATGTGCCCCCTTAACATTTGGATAACTCTTTTATAACCACCATGTTCTTTGCAGATGCATCCTTCCTCTTAAAATACAAAGATAGTTTTTTAAAAATTAACTAAGAGTCACAAAAGCTCTTTTAAAGAGTAGGTGATATACTTACAAACATATAAAAGTAAATAAAAATAGATTTATATTACAAATTGTTCAAATATGGCTCTCTAAGTATGATATTTATCACAGTACTTAAGCAATTATTTGTCAAGAAGAAATAAATAGTTAAAATAAACACGAAATGCTTTGGACGTAAAATGTATAAATATTCAATATCACAACCATGATATATATTCAAAGATCTTTTTCCAGTAAAGATTTTACCCGCCAAACACATACAGTCAGCTACAGTGAACCAAGTAATATTCAGAAATAGTGTGGGAAAAAAGTAATTGTAATACAGTCGGACCTCTATTTAACGAAGTTGCTAAATCCCGATAATAAGTTCGTTATATGGAAAATTCGTTAACTTTATGAAAAATTTGTTCTAATCTAAGAAGTTGCAGCAGATATTAAGAAGGCGATGATAATAAAGAAGATAAAAGACTTTTTTTCTTCTTTTTTTTAAAATCATGTTAGAAGCGAACCAATATCAAAATAATAAGTTTTGTTATAGAATATAGAAGGAGAACAAAAAGTTTAAAAATGCACAGAAAGATCAGCAAATTCCATTAAATTCCCGGCCATAATAAGACTATGATTTACTTCTATAAGAAAAAAATGATTCAATATAAAAATATTCAGTTCAAAATGTGGAACAAATATGGCAGATACATAGTAAACAATAATAAAGGTATACAATAAACAAAAGTTAAATAAAGATTTTCTTATTCTAATGGAAAATAGAACAAATCTTTTTAATACAAAATGATAATTGCATTGCAGACGATTTGCAAGCAGAGACATCTTTAAAATCATGTGATATCAAGGTAGATGGAAAAAAAAGTCAAATTAATCTTAAAAACATCAAACGATTCATATAATTGTTTAAAAATTCCTGAGAAAAATATATAAAAAAATTATCTAAAAAATGCCTAGAAAACAGAAAAAAATGTAAATATTAAGCAGTAAAAAAATAATTCTAAAAGTCAATTTGATGAAATAAAATATTTGTTCTCTGTTTCTTATCCCCCCCCCTCCACAATTTAATTTAATTGTTTTATTGCAATTCTAAAATCGTGATTCGTGAATGAAAAAATTTCAAATTTTTAAAAGTGAAGCTAAACCAATGTAGCGTCTCACTTGTTCATTTGAAAAGGCTTTCTATTTCATTAAGTACAAAGCTTGCTTTTATTGCGCGATTATTATTACTTTCTGCACTTCATAGAAGTAGTACCAAGATTTTTACAGGAAGGGCGATAGAACAGAATTTATATCGAATTATCAGAACAGCATTGACACAACCCGAAACCAACAGGTATTGAGAGAAACTTAACTGTAAAGATGCGATAATTCTCTACTTAGAACAAGCATGCTTCTTTTTTCTTTTCTTTTTTTGAAAGTCAAAATGAACTGAATTATACTGCTGGTTAAAAATTGACAGAAATATTGAAAAATTTCAATCATTAAAAATTTTATTAAATTGTAGGCAGCAGTGCAGTAAAATTTTATTATAACCACAAGAATTCAAATAACGTTTTGCTCAAAAAAATAATAAAATAAAATCAAAACAGTTAAAACTAATTGTCTTGTTTTAATTTAGAACTTTTTCATTTTCCATTAAGAAAAAGATTCACCTAAACGATAGTCTGGAACTATAATCGTTATCGGAATCGAAACTTATTAATTCTGACATTGCTGTTCTAACTAAAAATATAAGCATGACAATTTGGATTACCCCTTAGAAAAGAAAATATTAATTAGGCCTTTTTTGTGTGCATAAGTAGTATTGAATCATATATTTTAAACCCAATTTTCTTCTTTAAAGTGCAATAAATTAGTAATGAAGGTGAAAACGATATTTTAGCGAATGTTTCAAAAATCAATTACTGATAGATATGTAAGGTTTGTTTCACTCTCTTTAGAAAACCAGGTATTTATTACCGATGTTTGAAAAATAGTTGCAAAAAAATGTTACTGAGAAAAACTATAAACAAATTGTATATAAAAAAAAATATTCTGAGGACAAACCTCACAAATATTTTGTTCGGATAATCTCATTTACAGCATTGCTATATAGCGTTACTCAACCAACAGTCAAAGATTTTGACATTTGCCTGGTCTTCTGAAACAAAATTCAGCAAATTAGAAATTTTTAATAAAAAGAGAAATCAAAAATCATGTATGAAGCAGTTAAATACTACAATTCCAAAGGAAAGTTGCGCAATGCAGCAAAAATTCCATAAGAAAATTGAAACCAAAAGAAAATTATAAAGAAGAAAACATTAAAAAATATGTAAGAATGACAATTGAAGCTGGCGTGGTCAGGGGGTACCAGCTCCGGAAGTCATAAAAACACAAAACCTTTTCTATCTAGAGAGCACGGCAAATGTCTAAAAGTTGATCTCTCTCTACTCCATAGGTTCTGCAAAAAGTCCAGGAAGAGGGGGAAGAAATATAAAATACAAAAGTGAATTAAAGAAAGTAAATTACAAAAAAAAAGACATTGTTCAAAAAAACTACTTAAAAATATTCCTCTTTCAAACCAATAAAGAACTCAACTTACATAACCTTTGGGGTGCAGCATTGTTTCCCAAACGATATGACTTTTTTTTAATTACTTTTGTGTATCCTTTCTAAATTTTTCATCATGCTGTGTACCACTAATAAAAAAATAATGAATGTATTTTTTACTATAAAAAAATTGCGCAAAAGTTAAATATCACAACTGGATGTTGACCCCACTCATTATTAACTGTTAACTCTGCAAAAAATAGCCAATAGATAAATACGTAATCGTAGATTTTCATAGCTAGTTTTGTTTTTAAATAAAATTATTCGAAAATATTGTTGTTGCAAGATATTTCGCATAAGAACGCGTAACCCAGCTAAACTGTTCCCTGTACACCTGGGGGTACGCGTACCACACTTGGGGAAACATTGGGGTACCGAGAGAGCAATTTTTAGACATTTGTCGTGCCCTCTCGATAGAAAAGATTTTTGTGTTTTTACGACTTCCGGAATTGGTTGTTTTCTTCTTTAAAATTTTCGATTGGAAATTTTAAACTTTTTTTTTTTTCTTCATAACTTTATTTTGTCCGTCACTTTTGGGACACATATTACGTAAAAACTTTTTTTTGTTTTTGGTGTCTTTTGTTTATAAAAAAATTTGTTGCTAAGGCCAATTAACGGTTTTAACCGCATCGTATTCAAAATAGATTGATTTTTCAAAAGGATCACATTAAATTCAGCTGGTGGTGATATTGGAAACGATACCAGGGGGTGAGGTGGGACAGTCGGTCTCGTCCGATCCATCACCACAATTATTATCACCGTTACACCATAGGTCCAGGTGGATGCAACGTCCGCTGTTACACTGTTTCTGAGTGGGGAGGCAGCTCTCGTTGCAGCCCTCTGGTTCGTCAGATCCGTCTGGACAGTCTGGATAACGGTCACAGAAGAGTATCATATCCACGCATTTGCCATCATTGCAGGTGAATTTTTCCGAACCGCAACCTGAAAAAAAAAACACCTTTGTAAGTTTTATGCCATTTATACAGTGCGTAATTTCCCCACGTAAGCGAGCCATAGGTAACCAAATATTTAGAGCTGGCGATCTAGTTTTGTCTAATAAAATGCTGTGTATATACAGGGTGCATAGCCAAATCTTTCAAAATAAAAATAAGCTCCTTTTAAGTACTTTTTAAGCAGTCAAAATATATTTTTAAGCACTGTATACATTAACAAAACGCAAAATAATTTTCAAAGACCATGATCATGATGAAACAACCATTTTCTGACAAAGAACTCCTTTCTTTGTTTACGTTAGCCACCCTAAAAAGCTCAAGAGATTTTTCGGTTCGATATCAGAGGGTGGAAAATGAAGCCTGGAATTGAAAACATCTTGCAAAATGCAGCGGCGGTACCGCGAAATAGATTGCGGTTGACCGAATTGTGAAAACGCTGAATAGAGCAATGTGAAAAGCGCGCTTTTGCATAACGGTAAATCAACATGTTAAAGAAAAAAAAAAATCTCAATTTCGATAAGGGTAAATGAAGCACTTTTTAGAATCACCCAATGAAAAAAGCACCTTTAACACTAGAAAGACTGAAACTTGGTTTGCCCAAAAGCAGTCAAAATGACTGGATTGTAAAAAAATAAATAATGTATAAAAAAATTTGTTTAAAATTAATTTTTAATATTTTTTACATTATTTACAGTTATATAACAAGTTATTAGTAAATATTAACAATAAAAAAATTATATGTTGTACAAAATTCTTAGAAATTGTGTTATTATATGCATCATTGTTTCTCCAATTGAAATTAATAGCAGTCAAAATGACTTCCTTAGGCAATCTAGTGTTAAGGGCTTTTACAAAGGAAAATCGAGAATATGCACTTTTTAAAAACACTACACACCATAACTGTGTCCTTGTATTAGCTATATTGGGCTAACTATAGTAGTTATAATTGCTGAAAAAACTTAGAGAAAAAAGGAACAGATGAATATACTTAAAATAAATAAAACTACATAGTATATAAACTAGCTTAATACAGATGAAATATCACCCTTAAATATTACATAGATTATGCTTTGAGTGATCACCATTTTTTAAAAAACGAAAATAAAAAACAAAATTCCCAGTTTGTACAGAAAAACTCCTAATTCCCTGTATTTTAGGTGAGTTTTAAGTTCCCTGTATTTTCCTGGTTTTCCCCATTCTCCCTGTGGAGTGGCAACCCTGTGTTAAAACATGACAGGGTATGTAGCCAGATTTTTCAACAAAAAATAAGTACCTTTTAAGTACTTTTCCTATCGTTAAAAGTTCTTAATTTATAAACATAAAATCAATAAAACTCAAAAAAACTTTACATATTCATGATAAAATAACTAGTTTCTGATGAATATTGGCGATAAAATTGTGAAAAATCATGCATTTTTTGAAATTTAGAACAACAATCGACACTGTAAAGAAAAAAAAATCTTTTTTAAGATAGAAAATTAAGCACTTTTTACAAACCCCGAATAAAAAAAAAGCACTTTTAAGGGCTTTTAAAAATCGTACATCAAAAATAAGCATCTTTAAGCACTTTTTAAAACCGCTACGCACTCTGCATGATAGAAGTCCGACGAGACAGTTTTACCCCGAGGAGTCAGTCCAAGCTATGGTAGACCACCTTATCGATTCAAAAGCTTAACACGTACGTATAAGTCATTAACACTTCCCAGTCGCAGTTCTTTCTGCGCAATTAATATTTTTTTGATCGGCAACTTATTGCGTAAAAAAGGGGTAATTACTTTTTGTGCAGTTAACTTCATCGCTGGCATCCCAACAATCTGTTTTACCATCACATCGAAGATAGTCTGGTATGCAGGGCGTTCCACATCTAAACTGACCAGCACCACATTCTGCAATAAAATAAATAAATTTTCAGGTCATTAGTGGATCAGCACACTTTTCTGTTCATAAGAAAGTTTTTATAAAAAACAAAAACAATCTTACATAATAATTACAGGGGTGGCCTCAAATTTTAAAGATATTAAGTTCATTACTGCCGACATTGAAGAAATAAAATAACTGAGATTTTACTAGCGACATTCTTTAGGCTACGCGTAAGGTTTAGATACATCGTGCATAATTATGTAAGTCAAAAAGAGAAATTCAAAATTGCAAATTATGTGAACACTTGCATTTAGCGACGTAAAAAATATGTATATAAATCTTAATCTAAAGAAGATTATTTTTAAGCCCTTATTCATAATTACTTAAACTATAAACACTCAACATACTGCAGTACTGGCAATAGCACCACTTGTTGAGAAATAAGAGAAGTATTTTTGCCATCAACGAATATTTTATAGCGAAATTTTTTTTTCCTTCCCTAAGTTCTTCAAAAAATACGGAGAAATTTTAGCACATACAGGTACACAGGAGATAGTCGTAAACAGGAGACTTGGCAGGTACATAAGTTCCTATGACATTACATAATTTGAAATGTGTCCATTATGTCACCAAACTACGTTTCGCTGTCAAAAAACAGAGGGATCTCATACTATACAGCAGTTATTTTGATTCTATTTTAAAACACCATAACAAATTTAACAAAATAATTATCAAAAGAACCATAATAACATAAAATGATAAAAATTTACAAAAAATGATAAAAATTTACAAAAAAGTGACCTACTTTCGCGAAATCTCTGCGCATTTTAAAACAACAACCATTCAAAAGTTATTTATGATGTTGTAGTGTATTTCAGAGGTAGAACTATAGAAAGGATGACTCACCGCAGTCTATTTCATCAGACATGTCGTAACATTCAATACGTCCATTGCAACGTCCACTGGCCGCTATGCAGAGACCATTACTGCACTGCCACTCCCCTTTCTTGCAATTGGCTGAAACAGACATGTGCAAGTGAGTGTGCTACACTGAAAGTGTTCTAAACGTTCACAGTTTGCTTCATTCTCCTGAGGAAACTAAGTATATATATTCTTATCGATTTTCAATGATGAAAACATAATGCTATGACATGCAACAGAAAATCGGTGGCGCAGTCAGTTAAGGTGTCTCTCAAACCGCTCTTGAAAAGCTGGGGGTCATGAGTTTGATACTGGAAACCGACAACGATGGTATGGAAGTTTGGAGCCCTGTGACAAAATCACGGCGACATTGTCGCAGAACATTGCATTGTTCTAGCAGAAAGATTTGTTTTGAGGGAGGGAGAAATTTTGGTTTTCTTTTCTGCAGAAATTTACACGTAAAAGTTGAGTTGCGCATTTAAATAATCACTTTTTGTCCCGATCAATTTACGCAGTTAGCATTGTAAATCCATGTAGTGTTTCGATTGTATTATCGGCAGGTATTGATTTTCACGTGGTTTTTGATTATTCCGATATATTTCAGACGATATGGGAAATTCGAATCTTGCATTTGAGTATTTACTTTTTAAGGCAACAATTCTATCGTTTCCTTTTTTTTCTCGCAATTACTGCTTTTGACTTCCATATAGTTTTTAAAATCCGATATTATCTATTACAACAATCAAACCTTGAAACGAAACACGCATTTGAGTAATCCCGTTTTGAAGAGTTCTATTCGCCTGATTTTGTCATCGATCTGTTTTTCGGTAATTAGTGCTTCGGATTTCATGATTTTTAAAATTTTTTTAAAATGTGATGTTGATTTACCAAATGCGATAAAGGAAATAATTAATACGTTTTTCTCCAAAACAAAATGAGAGAATATCGCCCATAATATTAGAATAAAATTTTTTTTTAATATATTTAAGTATAAATGAATAAATAATTATTGAAAATAATTATAATAATGGAAAATAATTATAAGAATTATAATAATGGAAAATAATTATAAGAATTATAATAATGGAAAATAATTATATGGTTTTTTTTTTTTGGGGGGGGAGGTAAACACAGCCTTTTTGTTACTTTAAATCAGTAACATACACATTTGTTATTATTGATAGTATCTTGCAGAAAGATATTAGTGCTAGAGAGTTTTTTCGCAGAAAGCCCGGAAAAATTCTGCCACAGGGGTTCGGAGAAAGGGGTACTTTTTCAGGTACGTTGTCTGATTGAGGTCAAAATTACGTTGCATTCCTACCATGGCCGTTAAGAAAACCTAAAAATGGCGCTTTTATGGTTTCCTTGAAGCACCATCTTTGGAATTTGTTTCCCAAGCAGAACAAAGTAAACCTTTTGATATGATTGAATGAAATCTTACCAACGTTATCGATACATTGATATGTGAAGTTGCCCAGCTTTTTGCATAGCTGGTGTTCGCTGACGCACCATCCACCACACCCAGATGGATCATTAGCATCCCTCGGTACAAGGCACCTGGAGAGGGGAGTCTGTGGTAAGAGGATGCACACTTCCCCATCTTTGCATTTTCCACCACAATCTGTACTCTCATCTGTAAAATGAAATCTATGCTTAGCCGCAGTGAACTTTTTTTTTTCTAAAATGTATTGCAAGTGCCTAAATACGGGCCTTTCTATTAACGAAGATAAGACGAAATTCATAGGCTACTTTAATACTATGATGATTAACCATCAAGAGAAGTTTGATTCTCAAAGACCAACAAACCATGATGATCCGTTATGGTCCACAGATGATTCCAACTATACATTTATATGAAGTTTTAAGGGGAATTCTTGTTGGTTCTCAAGATTATACCACATCAAAACAATAATTTTTTTTTATGCTGGACCATCATAAATCAGTCTGAATTCCTATATTGGGATGATGGTTGTTCATGATCGTTCCAACACTTGATTTCTAAGATGATACTATGATGGAAATTCGCGACTGTCCATAACGGTACACCATCATTTCCATGATAGTTTAATAATAATTATTGTTGGTTCAGCAGGAATATACCATCAAAACAATTTGGGGTTTTTTGTGTTGACCTGTCATAAATCAGCATTTGTTTCATGTGAATTCTTTCCTTAATGTACCCCAGGGTGCTTATTTTAAAAAGAAACGCAAATTCCACAGTTTTCCACTAGGTGGCAGAGTAAGCAGTTTCATCATATCCCAGAAAGCATGTAACCTTACAGCAACCTTTTGTAGGAATTTTCTTTTTTTTTTTTTATCACGAGAATGTTTTAACTAAAAACCTTTCAGAATCAAGTAAAAATATTGCAATACTCATCCTAAAAGGATTAAAAATTATTTTTTATAGCTTTTTTAAGAAATATTGTCCCTTGTCACTGAAGTCACACTAGCGATAGGATCAAATTGCATTGTCCATTAAAATTTCATGACAAGGTGGATTTTAGCTGAGCATACAAGACTTGGCAAAAAGAAACCTTATAATTACCTAGATTAAAGATTATTTTCACCTTGAGACTAGCTTTATCAAAGAATTTTTTCATGCTCGAAAACCCTAAGTTAACCTTGATTTAAGGTTTTTATGTGAAAGGTTGTTTTCCACTGTCTTGGATTAGAGTAATGTGAGTTGAATACAGCATATTGTCACTGAGCTCGTTTTAAGGTTAGAAGGCTTACACGTAAACCGCATAACAAACATTTTTAGGGTTACATTGAAAGGGTTTTGATGAGTTGAAAGAAACCTTATTTTGCTATATATGATTCCACTAGTGGGATAAAATCGTCCATACATATTAACTCTAAGGAAAGTTTAAAAATACTATAATTTCAGTGAGAAAGTAGCAGGAATTTCTATTTTATATAATCATCAGCAATTACATATTATCTAAGCAATTTCGCCAAAATCGATATACCTGGTTTAATATGACCGAAAGTTTTCTTTTGTATAAATTGCTCCGTTTTTAAAAATTATGATAACATCTATTAAAAATTTAAATACAGCTAACATTTGAACAATCCTTTATCATTGAGATGGAACTAAATCCGAAATAGAAATTTACCTGGAGTTTCTTCAGCTGGTATCTCAATCGCTTCGCCATCAGGAACACCTAGAAATTATCAACTAGATCAATGATTCTAAAAGGAGTAAATATCTTTCATTTAATTTAATGACCTATACAAAATGCTCTGCATGCAAAATATTTTATAAACCAATTAAAATACCACTAAGAAAGTTTTTAAGAAACGCTTCTTTTTACCAATAAATTGATAAGCCACACTTTTTCAAATATGACTTCTTTTTCATATTTGACTTTTTTTCTAAGTATTGATTCCTGGAACTATCAAGCAAGTTCGCAAGTTCACTCTCAGTAACCATACACAAACACATATTATTATCTGCCGGAAAAAAATTTTTTTTAATGAAAATAGTTTAAAAGATGTTTTTATGAAAAATTTCTTCCTCTGTTTTTCGTAGTTTATGCATAAACAACAAAAATAATCTACTAAAATTGCCAGCGGAATAAAGCAGTGAGCATACCTGTCAACATTGGAGAAATAAAATTACGGAGATTTTACTAACCGACCTAATTTCGGGTTTACTGATGTTCAACTTCGTATTATAAAGTACTTTAGCAGAATAGTGCCCATATTCGTTCATTTCTGGGCATTGCTTATTGTATAATACACGTTGCCTAGATAGTTAATGAAATGATAGTAAGATTTTTAATATTTAGATAAATTCGCGGCAATGATGCCCGAGCTACATGATGATGCTTACTTTTAATCCTCATAGAATCAAGAACTTAACCGCTTCATTTTGCAAATAACTCTGTAGCAAATTTATTTTGTGGCGTAACTACCTCTAAGATTACTTAACATCAATTCACTAGTATATAAGTCATGTTAACTCGATTTAATCATGGGGTACCTTTTATTTTATTTTATTTTAAAACCGTCGTTGAACAGCCGATCCTATTTTCAGTTTACGACCACTAATGTTAAACTCCGTAGCCTTGTAAGTTTGAACCTAATTCAGAAGACAAGGGAACTCCTGGATCAAGCATTGGGTCAAATTTGTCTTCATGAAGGGCTTATGGATGGAACTAACAGCATTTGCGTTACATGGAGGGAAAAACCACGAAAACCTCCTGCAGTTACCTTGACAGCAAGGTGACTCTAACCAATGATTCAAGCACTGAGGATATTTCACGTCAGCACTGTGGTCGGTGCAAGCCTGATGAGGAAATCGTATTGACAAGCTATTGCTAGGATTCGAACCCGCTTCCCCTCATTGGAAGGCGAACGCTCTATTCCCTGAGCCATCACGGCTAATGGGGCATCTTTTATTTTATATTTTGTAATCGTAGTTGAACAGCCGATCCAATTTCGTTTTCACGACTACTAATGTTCAACTCCATAACCTTGTCATTTTGAACTAATGCAAAAGACAAGGAAACTCCTGGAAGAGTACCCTCAGAGGTATGATTTGTTATGGGAACATGGAGGACTTTGAGCCTCGGTAGATTTAACGTGCATCAATCGCCATTTATTGCAAGGGGAATCTTCGGCAGACGGGGATCGAATCCACGATCTCTTGGACATGGACTCAATGTCCTACCAACCAGGCCATCCCGGCTCCATGGGGTACCTTTTTATTTTATATTTTATAACCGTCGTTGAACAGCCGACGGATTGTGGTTGAATGAATTGTGAAGACGTAGAATAGAACAATATGAAAACCACTTTTTTTACGTAATACGTGGTGAAAATCGACATGGTAAAGAAAAAAATCCTATTTTCGAAAAGGGAAAATTAAGCACTTTTTGAAAACACCCAATGAAAAAACCACCATTAAGGGCTTTTAAAAAACGAAAATAAGCAACTTTTAGCATTTCTTAAAAACGTTACGCACCATGCAAACGTTTTGTAGAACACTATCTGGTGACATTATAGTCCAGCTTAGGGACGAAATTTTGTCCCTAAGAAGATTTAATATTCCATTTTATATAAAGGCTGTTATATAGGGTCCGTTATTCAATATGCGTTCAGCAAATTGTGCTAAGTTGTAAACTCAATTACTTTGCACAAACAATTGTAATTTCGGTTTAAACAGTTGATTTTCTATGATTTCTAAAGAGAATCACCTGTAAATTTGAGTGATCGAATATCTACTTGCAGCAGTCCTCCAGGCAGATATCCATGATGTCTCTCCAGTGCCTGGATCACAGCAAGACCTACTTCTCTTTGGATGTTTGTGCCTGGCTTTTTAAAGTGTATCAGGCACCTTGCAATAACGCTCCCTTCACTGTCAAAAGAATAAAAATAAAAAAATTTTTTTACACAATTACATTCCGATATGACCCGGATGCCACAGATAAAAAAATGAACAAAATAATTGCTTTCAGCAGCCAAAAGCATGAAAATAGTTGCATAAATAAGAACAAAATTTTACCAATAATATGACTAAAATTTCATTAAACGACTTAATTGCCATATACCATGATCAACTTTATATTTAAGTTATGTGGCAAATAGGATAATTAGTATATTTGCAGAAAATTAAATACTTTTAATTTCTAGAATTTATTAAAAAAAAAACTTTTAAATAAAATAAAAAAACACTTTTCTTCTAAAGTCTATACATTAAAAAATTTCCCCTTTTATCAGTAATGGATTTAGCAAATATATATGAGCAATTCTACAAATAAACGCCAGTTAGGCGGCCAAAAAAAAATAAAAAAAATTTTGGGGGCACATTATTTCTACATGAATTTTCTTCTTCTTTACACCCTAGAAAGGCAAGAAAAAATCGAGACGATGAAATTTTTTCTTTGTGACATACTTTAAATGCGACATACTCTTTCTGACATACTCAGATAAATCTGAGCCATTTATTCAGATAAAACGATTTTTACATAAATATAATATTATTATAATGTTTTTCTAAAATGTATTTATAGAGATTACATACTATAAGATTATATTTTAGTATAAAAATTGGCGTTTATTTGTAGAGTTGCTCATATCGTCGCCTTGAAACTAAACCGTGGTAACTCAAAAAAGCAAATTTTTCAGGANTTTATGCTAAAGAAACATCGGTAAGAGTACAGAAAAATCTCCAAATATTCTCCTTCTCCTGAAAATAGTAGCTTTTCTTAGCCTTTTCAGGCAAAAAAGTTGCCTCGAATAAATGGGAGCATTTTAGTCGCCTGCTGCAATCCTGTTATGACCATCCTTCATTTATGCATGACAAAGAAAAAAAAAATATTAAAAACAGCATACACATTAGAAGTAAGAAATAAATAGTGAAACGATGAAAAAAATTAATGAAAAACACTATAAAAATCTGTCGTATCATTGTTGGAGAATGCAAGATTTTTTATTTAAAAAAAAAAAAAAAACTAAACCTGTTTGATTTCCAAGAAAACAAAAAAAAAAATAGAAAGACAATAGTATAAAAAAAATATATATATATATTAATAATAATAATAGCAACCTCGGATTTCATCTGCCAATCAAAGCAGGTTTCGATTGGCAGATATATATTTTTAGTCTCATTTTCCACAATTGTGAAGCTCCAGAGTTCGATAGCGTTTTAGTTTTTTGTTCTTCATTTAAATATTAATTTGCATAACTAAATGAATAAAAGACAAGGCCTTCAAAAATACATATTAAGGGCGGTGATTACGGTGCAAGGCAAAACATTCCTTTATGAAGTACCGCCTTGTAAAATTTCATAACAGTCTCTCGTTTTTCAATTTTGCTATTTTATTTGTATGTGGAACTGGAGAAGATCCATTGTAAGAGGAGAGTTTTCAGGCTTCGTTTATAAAGCTTTTTGTCCAAAAGAATCTTAGTTATTAATTTTTCAGACAAAAACACCAATTTTTTGCTATAATTACTGGACTATAAAGAATCTCCACGAATAGAAGCAGTAGGTGGCAAAAATCATTCCGTTAAAAGAGTTTTAGATGATGTGACATACCAACTCAAATTTTGTGTGTTTATACCTTTGATAACAGAATTTATAGTTTGTCTCTAAAGTAAGAACTCCTCTATCCATTCGTCTGAACTCGTGGCGGTAACTATGGTAACGAGATATAAATTTTTCAAGTAGGGGTGTGGGGTCACTGTTTAGAACAGGTTTTGGTTCGGGTCAACGAGAGAAAGGTAACATTTTTCTCCCGTATGAAGAGAAGCTACTCTCCCTGAAATGCGCTATTCTTGTTTCCATAGCAGCAGACAGACTTTGTGGCGGGGAGAGTTCTTACAGCAGACAAACTATACTCGAATTCTTTAACAACCACTCAGCTCTTTAATTTCCCTCATATGTCAACATTTTTCACTGAACAATAAATAAACTTAATTGAATAAAATGAAGCACTGACCTGTATCCCAGAACTCTTGTTTCGTTGTAATGTGGCAGATAATTAAAAAATACAGCATCCATCTGAAAATTTTTTAATTGAATCAAAATTATGTCTACGGCTGAGACTCACTTATATATAAAATCTATTGGAGGATGTTTAAAGAACATTATGGAACGGAATATGACTCACGGATTGTTGTACTTGAATGGACAACCTGTGATAGACAGAATTTCCCGAATGAAGAAGATCTTTGGTAAATACTCTATTGGTGATTCTTATTTCTCCCACCACCAATGACATACCTGAAATATCAATTCAAATATTATAAGTGATCTTTTTTTTCTTTAAATAGACGCTTATAAGAAGACTTTAAGAGGTCATTCTCCTCGGTTCGCAGATTGAAAATAACTGCCGAAGAATTTTACAAGAAAAAAAAAACCGATAGAGGATATTTACTTCTATTTGGCAGAATCGTTCGGTATATTTAAAATACAAGACTGTCACCCAATCAGAAATCAACATATAAAACGTGCGCCATTTTGTATTCCCGATTAGCTTTTTTTCTGATCAATTAAACTCTGCAGTTTTTGAAAGTTAGCTAAATTTTATAAAGTTGCTGTTTTTATAGGTACAAATAAGTTTGCGCCATTTTTTTTATTTTTTTTATTGTTTTTTTTTAATATAAAAAATTAGCAGTTTATTGTGAAAAATCGGTACATTATTTTCTATTCAAAGTATTTTCCATTACTAGATACTACTTTTCCCCATATTTGTGGGAGCATTCGGATACCCCGTCGCACTGTGGGCCAGAAGACCATGATCTTTGGCCAAAAGTCAAAAATCAAATTTTCAACTAAAATATGTGTAGGCAGTTTTAATATAGCCCAAATTAAGTATTCATAATCATTCCAAACATTATAATTTACTTTTTGGACCGACAAGAGTACAATGTACTGAAATATATATAAAAAAAATTTTTAAATGTAACTTTTATATTTTTATTTCAGGAATATACATAGGAACTTCACCTTACTGTTAGATTTTTATCAGAGTAATTAGTCTGAAATTATAGTACAATTTTTCAATTTGTTGGATTAGTTAATACTTTTGACAAACTTATAGTTTATATCTTCTCATTTGACATTTTATAATGTTTGAATGACTTTCGAAACTTAGTTCCAAAAAATTCCACGAGGTAATTAGCTAAACTTTTTTTTGTTGTCTTCCTTGATGTTTCTTCTTTCGAAAAAAAACTGCCCATTTTGCCCGTATGGCAAAGGTGGACTAAATATATCGAAAAACAAAAATTATGTTTTTTTTCATGTTTTCGCATTATTTTGTAATTAATTTGCTTTATTTTGTTATATTACTTCGGAAATATAATTTGCTTTTAATTTTTAATATAAAACTACGAAAATTATTATATTTTCATTGCTATATTTAATTGTTTAAACGTACTTTATTTATTAATTTTTTTTTTTTTTGCTCCCAATATTTCAGCCGCCATTTTGTTTTTTTGGGTATTTTTAGTGTATTTCAAAATTTCAACTATTTATTCAATTTACCTGCATAAAGAAACCCCTAAATAAAACTTCCCAAATTTTGTAGCAAATTTTTATCCAAATACTAATTTTGGCCACGAAACCTTGGATGCTGGCCCACTGTGCGTCGGAAGAACTCTTCATCTTTCCGAGAATATCCACGAATCGAGCCATTCCTTGGTTACTTCAAATAATGTCAATTTCTGCTCAGACAGACCATGTGACATCGACCGGAATAGGTAATAATCTGGCGAATACTGCGGGTGGAGTAGGACTTCTCATTGAAGTGTATCCAAAAAGCAAAATCAATTTTTATGCAAAATCGACGTTCAATGTCTCTTGTCTTCAGTTCGTATGGAACCTAACTTCCTTGCTTTTGGATGATTCCCAACTATTTTAAACGATGTGAGATTACTTGCTGAGTCACTTGTAATGTAAGAGAAGTTTTTCATGCGTTTGGGATCAATCTTCTTCCAACAATGCTTCCAATTTCTCGTCTTCGTACGTTTACCACCAGTCAATTTCCACATAACCTTCTGGTGGTGACATCTTGTGACGAACAGCGGTAACCTATTCCTACACTCAATAGACTTTTGATAACATCTTTATTTTTGAGCAATTAAGTATCTTGTATTTGTAGTTCATCTATGTCGCAATAGAGCTGCACAATAGGCTATTGGCGACGGTCTGGGAAACATTCCTAAGGATGATCCGAAGACATGCCATCACAATTTTGATCCTCTGCAGAGGGGATGGCACCCGCTTCGGTAGCCCGACGACCTGCACGCGAAGTCGAGCACTTTACGGTAAAACAGCTTAACGAGGACCCATACCACACACCCTCGGTCCCTGCACAGACTGATCCAAATGGTCGCCCACACGCACACTGACCGCAGCCAGTGATGCTTAGACTTCGGGGATCTGTTGGGAACCGTGTCTTAAAGATCAGTCCACTATGGGACTAAATTAAGTATGAGCGAATTTTTAAGCACTGGCCAAATCGATTCCCATTAGTTTCAGCTGCAATAATATTGAACTTTTAAAAAAAGAATAACTTAATTGCTTTAAAATTTTGCGGCAAGCTAACTCTATTATTAAGCAGCTCTATTTCTTCAAATCTAATAAAACAATCGTTTTANTTGTAATTAATTCGCGTTATTTTGTAATATTACTTCGGAAATATAATTTGCTTTTCATTTTTAATATAAAATTACGAAAATTATTATATTTTCATTGCTATATTTAATTATTTAAACGTACTTTATTTATTTATTTATTTTTGTTTTGCTCGCAATATTTCAGCCGCCATTTTGTTTTTTTGGGTATTTTTAGTGTATTTCAAAATTTCAACTATGAATTCAATTTACCTGTATAAAGAAACCCCTAAATAAAACCCCCCAAATTTTGTAACAAATTTTTATCCAAATACTAATTTTGGCCACGAAACCTTGGATACTGGCCCACTGTGCGTCGGAAGAACTCTTCATCCTTCCAAGAATATCCATGAATCGAGCCATTCCTTGGTTACTTCAAATGATGTCAACTTCTGCTCAGACAGACCATGTGACATCGACTGGAATAGGTAATAATCTGGCGAATACTGCGGGTGGGGTAGGACTTCTCATTGAAGTGTGTCCAAATAGCAAAATCAATTTTTAAGCAAAATCGGCGTTCAATGTCTCTTGTCTTCAGTTCGTATGGAACCCAACTTCCTTGCTTTTGGATGATTCCCAACTATTTTAAACGATGTGAAATTACTTGCTGAGTCACTTGTAATGTAAGAGAAGTTTTTCATGCGTCTAGGATTAATCTTTTTTCAATAATTCTTCCAATTTCTCGTCTTCGTACAACTTCGGCCTTCCACTGTGTTCTTTGTTTTCCACGTCAAACTCTCCGTTTTAAAACTTCTGAAACCACTGACGACAATTTCTCTCACTTAAAGCAGCCTCACCCTATGCTTTTCTAAGCAATCGATGTGCCTCAGCTGCAGATTTCTTCAAATGATAGAAGCAAATCAAAAGTTCCCGCAATTGGCGCTTATTTGGCACAAAACTCGACATTTTTGCACGAAAACAATTACGTAAGGCTAATACGGAATCACTAATACTTTAAGTTTATGTTGTTACCAGATGTACAAAGTTACAATAAAACGTTTAACGCCAGTCAATTTCTACATAACCTTCTGGTAGCGCCATCTTGTGACGAACAGTGGAAACTTATTCGTACACTCAATAGATTTTTGATAACATCTTTATTTTTGAGCAATTAAGTATGTTGTAGTTCATTTACGCCGCACTAGAGCTGCGCAATGGGTTATTGGCGACGGTCTGGGAAATATCCATGAGGATGATCCGAAGACATGCCATCACAATTTTGATTATCTGCAGAGGGGATAGCACTCTCGCTTCGGTAGTCCGACGACCTGCACGCGAAGTCGAGCACTTTACGGTAGAACAGTTTAACGAGGACCCATACCGCACACCCTCGGACGCAGGCTAATCCAAATGGTCACCCACCCGCACACTGACCGCCGCTAGTGATGCTTGACTTCGGGGATCTGCTGGGAACCGTGTCTTAACGATCAGTCCACTACGGGACTAAATTAAGTATGAGCGAATTTTTAAACACTGCCGAAATCGATTCCCATTAGTTTCCGCTGCAATTAGATTGAACTTTAAAAAAAAGCATAACTTAATTGCTTTAAAATTTTGAGGCAAGCTAACTCTATTATTAAGCTGCTCTTTTTCTTCAAATCTAATAAAACAATCGTTTTATTTACACCTTTGTTTTAAAAAAGTCACGTGCTTTCAAATAATACAGGGTATTTCAAAATGAATAGAGAGCATTTACAAACAGCTAATAACTATTTAACGAAAAATAATTTATAGATAAGATTAACATAGAATGTAGTCGAAACTTCAAAATGTCTTTACACAAGGCGCAGTGAAGCGATATCCTGCGCATGCGCGAGTTCATTAGTGAAAATGGCGAGTCCCGTGCTGAAAGCATTTTGCGTGTTGGAACTGAACAGGTTGCGTAGCCAAATCTTTCAACAATAAGAGCACTTTTTAAGCAGTCAAAAAATATTTTTAAGCACTATGTACATTAACAAAATGCAAAATAATTTTCAAAGACTACACGATCATGATAAAATAACTGGTTTCTAACAAAGAACTCTTTTCTTGATTATATTAGCCATTATCGAGAGATTTTTCGGTTCGATACCAAAGGGTGGAAAATGAAGCCTGACATGGAGACTATCTCGCAAAATGCAGCAGAGTTGCACACGAGAGCGCAATAATCTCACCGAACCCTCAGTAGACGCACATGCAGACGTGCAGGTATTTCATCAATCAAACGTGTAACATTATTGGCGCGTTCGTACACTACGGAAGACGGTCCGCCGAAATAGATTGCTGAATGAATTATGATAACATTGAATAGAACAATGTAAAAAGCACGTTTTTACACAATACGAGGCAGAAATCGACATGGTAAAGAAAAAACCTAATATTCGAAAAAGGAAAATTGAACACATTTTAAAAACATCCAATGAAAAAAGCACCTAGAAAAGAAGAGCTTTTAAAAAAAGAATATCGAAAATAAGCACCTTTAAGTACTTTTTGGAAATGCTACGCACCATTTTAAACAATTGTCATTCATTTATCACAGTGCAATGAAGATTTCGTCAGCATTACAATCAAGAACCTCCAATTGAAAACAAGATACGCAGATATCATAGGATGTTTGTGTAAAGGGAACCTGACAGCACAAATGCTTCAGAATGAAATGAACTACCGCCTAGATGTTGTCCATGTGACCAAGGGAAGTCACATAGAAAATTTGCGACGCATGTTGACAAAACTTTGAAGCTGTTTCTACATTTCTGTGTAAATTTTATCGATAAATTATTTTTCATTCATTAGTTATAGATGTTTATAATCGTTATATTCATTTTGAATTACCCTATATCATGTCATCAGAAATTTGTAAAGCACAATAAAAAATTTTAAAAAATCAGCAAAAAAGTTGTGATCGCCTTTTTACTATCACTGGTTACCCATTGGCCANACAAATGCTTCAGAATGAAATGAACTACCGCCTAGATGTTGTCCATGTGACCAAGGGAAGTCACATAGAAAATTTGCGACGCATGTTGACAAAACTTTGAAGCTGTTTCTACATTTCTGTGTAAATTTTATCGATAAATTATTTTTCATTCATTAGTTATAGATGTTTGTAATCGTTATATTCATTTTGAATTACCCTATATTATGTCATCAAAAATTTGTAAAGCACAATAAAAAAAATAAAAATAAACAAAAACAAAAAAAAAAGTTGTGATCGCCTTTTTACGATCACTGGTTACCCATTGATCAANAAAACTTGTTTTTTTTTTTTTTCTTTTCTTTTTCCCCTGAATTGAGTCCGTTAAACGTCACAACATTTCAAATCATGGGTTGCAAAAGCTGCCTCCATGGATGTTCGTCGTCAGATTGGTTTTCATATCCTGCCTATGTACGTGTTTCAAGACGTCACAAAATACTTTTCCTTCTTCAGTATTCATATTTATATTGAAATCACCGTCAAGACAGTCATTATACATTAATAATAAAAGAATATAAAAATACTTTAAATTATTATTCTGTAATTACATTAAAAATGCCTGCCAATGAAAATAAAAACAGCAAAGATCGCCATAGAAACGCATGTGCACTGTTTACTATTATTCTTGAACATTGTTGAAAAGTGTGTGGATGCCACCAAATCTGAAGCAAGATCCATTTTGCCAATTGGATAATATTATATGGTAATAATTATAAAATGAAAACAAAAAATCTAACCTAAAATCCAAGATGGTGCGGGTATGAATAGGGTAAAAGAAAAAAAAACATTGATAATAATAATACGTAGTAAGAAAAGTATTTGTAGTCTACGTACCATCTTCAGATTCTTGAAGTTCATTTTCCTCGTCCCATGTCAGCCTCACCTCACCAACTAAAAACACACAAAAAATAATTAAAGTTAATTTATTCTACTGCAAAATTGTCCCCCCTCCCTCCAACAAACACAAATACCGTCTTCCCTTTTAAAGTGCCTGTTTCTTTCTTTGGCTCCAAAATGAGTCTATTGCCAATTAAATTTTTATCGTAGATTGAAACGAGCAAAGAGATAGATTTAAACAAACGAACGTCGAGCTATACTGCTCAAATATTTTTAACAAGAACTCTGTGTCTAATACAAATTCCAATTATTTCTTAGATTTGGCAAGCAAAATTTGTCCTAACTTTTTCACATATCAAAATTTCAATCATTGTCCGACAAAAATAAATGAACCTATACAAAACTAAAGATGGAAGGATAATAAAATTAAATTTTTTTAACTCATTAACATCGGTTATTTGATATTGCAATAATATGAAAATTGCAATTGCAACGAAACTGATAGTTCCATTAAAGTTTCAAATGAGTGGGAATTTTCTAACGTTAGCTGCTATAAGTTACTCTTTTTTAAAAAAAAGAAAAATCATAAATACATGATTATTGATTAAAATTATTTCATATTACTAAAATATTACGGTATACCAATTGCTCCAAGGTAAAACTAGTATTTAAAAAATAGGATATTCCTATGCGGTTAAACTTTTGCCTCACACTTTTGCCATAAGCGTCTATGGGAAATAATAATTGTCATACGTATATGGTAAAAGTATATGGTACAATTTTACCATAGGCAAAATCGCATAGGGATATCCTCTGGTAATTTTTATATATACCAAATTTTTGCAGTAAAATTATGGCTTTTTAATTATTAATTATGGCTTATTAATTACTGTTTAATAATTAAGGTTTAAAAATTATTAATGACTGTTTAATAATTAAGACAAATTAAGGTTTATTAATTACTATTTATTACTTATGGTTAATTAGTTTATACATCGACAACAATAAACAAAGAGTCATTGAATTACAGGGATCACTTTTCACAATGATCATGATACAAAAAATTATAATAAGAGAAATTAAAGTGAGAAATTAAGCTATATAAAAAAAACTTTCAACTGCGCTCCTGACTAAACTATTGAGACCACATTTTTCAGATTATTCAGAGAAAGTACCTTTTTCGTTTCTGATATTATTTGCACTTAATTAGTGCACTAATTATTTAAGGTGAGACTCTCGAACAATTAAGATAAATTACCGGATCATATAATCAAAAGTTATTCATGGAGAAATTTTTTTTTTTGTGATTAATATTGAGCACTTACAGATTTTTACTTACAATATCCTGAAATCTTCTAACCACAAATAATTTATACTTTATTTTCAAAACCCGATACGTTTATATATATATATATATATATTATATATAAATAACAGTATATGATGTAAGTTTTTTCCATTTATTTGAAATAGACTATGGTCAGGATTGATATTACTTTTGTGTACCTCAAGTTGCATGCAACAATTTAAATATTAAAGTTATAATTTCCTAATGCCAAATTTACTTCTTAAATTTAACATGTTATTAAATTTTAGAATTTAAAATTTAGTGCTTGGAAACTAATAATACAAGAATACTTATTATCTAATTATAGAGGTTAAATCAAATAGTATATCTAACAATTAATCTAACACATCAGCACATTAATCTATATCTGCTGAAGACCTATACTGAGAAAAAAATATAGTCAAAACTACCAGAATATGGTAGAATTCATCGTGTTTCTGGCTCTATGGATACACCTTGGTGATGATTGGTACCAAGGCACTTGGTGAAGTGCCTTGGTAATGATTTAGAGAAAATTAACAATAAAAGTGATAAAATATAAGTGATAAAAATTACCATATAACTGATAAATACAATATAAAAGATAAAAATTTGGCAATTTTATCAAACCTTACATCATGGAATGAAAACCATTTATTTCGTTAAGTTATTTCTCAGTTTTGTAATTTTTACCTTGCATCAGAAAGGTTCTGGTTTCGAATCCCGGGAAAGGCATGTATGTTTGTTCAATCCTTGTTCTATGTCCATGCCAACAAATCTGCCCTTCAAGTGCCTGTACCTACGTCAATAGGTTATTCCTCAGGTGGGCAATGGAAAAAAATCTGTTGTAGTTAATTCCGAGATAAAACGCAGCTCCATACACAAATACAGCTTGTTTATTTCATGAATTATAAATTATTAAATATGAACTAAAAAGTCACTATATTCCTATGATAATTTAAATCTTTTGTTGTTCTTTCAAAAAATTTATTTATTGCAAAAAAAGCACAGGTAATAGGACGCGGGATATTAAATAAAATCTAAAAATACTAATAAGTATACTTAAACTTCTTTAAATCAATTTATTTTAAATATGTTTCATTTTTAATTTACCTGAAAAAAGCCATTGTTTAAAACTTTTATCTTTAGAATAAACTGTCGAGTTGTAACANAATACTCAAAAGGAAAGTTAAAATATTTTGTGAAGGGTCCGTTTTTATGAAAAGATGTTTTGCGAAGAGTCCGTTTTTATGAAAAGATATTTTGTGAAGGGTCCGTTAACGGACCCAAATTTCTTCTAAACAGACCCCTGATTTTTAACGTATTGCATTACAATGTTAGCCAATTAATACACGAACATAAACGAATGCAAACCGGTTTTAACAGCGTAAAAACAATAAAGCTTTACAGTATCACCTGATAATTAAGATTTCACATCGAATCTTATAGGGGTGTCTCATAATTGGGCCATGAACTGTACATGAATGGGTTATTTTTAAAAAAGTTGACGCTCACTTTGTAATCTGAAGAAAAAAAAATCAAAAGAATTTCTCATCGCAAAAAATAATAATAAATTCCATTTTTTTGAAATTATAAATATGCATTTTAGAAAGAATGGTTTGGACTAAACAAAGGCCTCTTAAAATTTTTGGGTATTTATTTCTTCACAGCTATGGGTATTTTTTAAACATTGGACACTTATTTGACCATGCCACACTCTAGAGTCATGCCACGTTAAGATCATATATATGGTTAACATAATGGAGAACACTTTGTGAATTTTCTATAATTTTTTGCAAAGAGTAATTCACTTAAAACTTGTTTCAGATAAAAAGTATGCGTCAAATTTTTTCAAAAATACCCAAAGTCGTGAGGAATTAAACAATCAAAATTTTTAAGAAGCATTCGTTTAGTCCAAACCATGCTATGTAAAGGGCATTTATATAGTTAACTTAATGAAGTTTATTTTGTGAATTTTTTTATAACTTTTCACAATGAGAAAATTATTTGAAACTTTTTTTAGATTACAAAGTGAGCGTCAATTCTTTCAAATAATAGAATTAAAAAATAGAATTTTCTCAATGGCTTAGCGGAAGCCATTGTTTTAAAATAAACTATAGACGATTCAGTTTTTTTTTTCAAACATTTGATGGGTAACATCACTGATGTTTTTTAGCTCACAGCTTCTTTTAAAAAAATTAATTTACTGCGGCGTTTCGTATTACTTAATTTTTATTCGTTATGCCAGGTTATATATGAGTAATCAACGTGATCGTTGAAGCATAATCGTCCTCCAAAGTAGTATTACTAAGGTTATTTGAAACCACGTGTTTATTTCGTTTACTGTTGTGCTTTTATAAAAAAATAAATACTGTTGGACTTCTATTTAACGAACTTCCATTCTGAGAATTCCTCTATTTTTCTATTCGTTTTTCTAGGAACCAGCAACATTTTGGAAATTTAATCGTAAAATAACTTCTAAATAGTGAGGTGAATTCTATATTAAACGAACTTTTCCTTGAGATCCACTTTCCCTATTTTGCAAAATATTTCAGAACATTTCAAACTTGTTAACGCATTTTATGGGGGAAATGAACATGAATTGATTTTTGCAGCCACTCAACTTTTAGAGAAAGCAGTAAAATCCCTTTCCCTTTTTGCTTGCTTATCAAAACGAAAAACTCAGACAAAACTGATTTTATCAGTAGCAATTAAACTTAAGAACACATGTGGTAATGCATGTTTACAAATACTTTTATAATATATGCAGCTATAATTTTACACATAAATTTAGCTTTTTTCAGATGAAAATGTATGTAGCATGATAGTGTAACACTGGATAATGGTTTGCTTATTCTTGCTTTCCATGCAGATTTCTTTTATGGTTAAGATTTATTTAATAAATTCTAGATACTAATTTACAAGATAAAGGTGTATCCATAGCTATTTTAATTGTGTCTGGTGTTAATGAATTAAAAACCTGTTTTGTGTTGTTTAAGTATTTCAAAAGATGATTTTCTATTCAACGAATTTTCCATATAACGAACTTATTATCGGAATTTAGCGAATTCGTAAAATAGAGGTTTAACTGTAATTTAAAATCAACGGTAATTGAAATAACAAAATTAAGGGAGAAATCGAACTAATTCGTCGAAGAGAAACGCAAGAAACAGAAATATTATTATATATTATAATTAATTTTGGTGATAGTAGCTAAAATGAAGTAAAATAATAAACTAGGTACTAAAAGGCAAAATTAATGGATGAATAGAATTAGTTCGTTTAAGAAGGCGCGAAAAATCATCCAGCCTTCATTGACATCAATGATGCTTAATTAATTTTGGTAATAAATACTAATTGAGAGATAAAAAAATTAAGCTATGAGCTTAAAAAACAAAATTAATGGAGAAAATGTACTTATTCGTTATGTTGTACCGTAAAAACCATTGATACCATCATTGGTATCGTTATGTTGTACCAATGATGCTTAATTTTGGCAATTGGCCCCACTGGCATCATGGTATAGTTTGTCTAAAGTAAGAACTCCCCTAGGCATTCGTCTGGACCCGTGACGGTGACTATGGTAACGAGGTATGTCTTTCAAGTAGGGGTGCGGGGTCACTGTTTGAGGTCGGTGAGAGAAAGGGTACCTTTTTCTTGTGTCTATGTGTGTTAGCCCTAGAGTGAAGAGAAGCTACACTTCCTGATATGCGCTATTCTTGTTTCCATAGCAGCAGGCGGCCTCAAACTTTGTAGCGGGGGGAGTTCTCATCCTAGACAAACTATAATTTGTGCAGTTTAAATAGGCATCAAATATATAGGTAAAACTTATTTTCGATCAAATTTGGTGCCTATACTGTACATTTTTATGATAGACTTCTTAAGGTCCCTCAAAGATATAATTACAGGGGAGAAAGTACAAAAGAACTACAGGGGAGAAAGTAACTTGTCTGCGGTAAATTTTAAATACCATGAGTTGCCTTGCGCAGCAGTATTATACCATTATAATGACATTGAATACAGTTAGTCTTTATTTTTAGGGGATGAGCAACTAAAAATGCGTTTTTTTTTCTGTTCTAACAACGTGAAGTCACCGCGAAAGGAAACAAATAATAAAAGCATTGCAATTATTTAAGCTTTATTACTGTCGGTTTTGTGCACGGTTTTGTAGTGGTTTTTTTTTCAGTACTGATAAATTGTGATGCTTTATTTTCCCACGGGTATTCAGCTTGTAGATAATAAAAGTAAAGAAAAAAGAAGGGGAAAAAAAAAGAAATTGTTTTAGCATAATTAATTGTATTATTGAATCGGCATAAGTCTTTCAGTTTTACGTTTGATTTTAAAGTGTCATCAATAAAGTGATTCCACAATTTAAGGTTTTTATGGAGAAGGTTTTTTCCCAAGGTTTTGGATTAGGATAATATGCGTAGAATAGAGCAGATTAGACGGTTCATAACAAACCTCTTTAGGTTTACATTGAAAGGGTTTTGTTGAGTGAAAATAAACCTTATTTTGCCATTTGGGAAATCATTTTTATAACATTCATGATAAAATAAATAATGACACTACATGAGATGGCTAACCTGCTAGATAGATGACTGTTCCAATCATGGCGATGAGTACCATCAGGAGGAGGAGAGTGGCCACAATCAGAAGCCTTCCGTTGCACTGTTTCTTAGAGTAGGACACATCATCATCATCATCACCGTCTGGCTTCTTCTTGGGGGGATTCAATTCAGTGTCATAAAAGGCTGGATTGTCTACCTGTAAAGATACCAATAAGTAAAACACAGTTTGTGCCAAAATTAGTTTTAAGCCTGCAATTCAAATAAGCTTATAAATTGAATGTAAACTATAAAATTGCTATTTAAGAATGATTCACATCCACTTTTATTTAAAATCTAAATTAACTCAGGTTTTTGTGACTCTAAATTTTTTCATGTTACGATCCGCGTTAGAGAGAATCTCTTTCTTTTTTTTTTTTTTTTTTTAAACTAAAATCGACTTCGCGTTCAACTGCAGAACATTTTAACTCATTTAATTTTTCTAGTTTTTTGAATTTAGTTTGAATTTCTCTTTCTAAGTTTTTCAAATAACTTAAGAGTATAACTTATTCCACAATTTCTTCAGTTACTATGTGTTTATTTTGTATATTTGTAGTTTTCTTTTTTTTTTTCTTCTTTTTTTTTGCTTTTATTATTTTAATCTATCATTATGTGTGTAATTTGCACGCTTAGTTAAATCTACTTTTTCTCGTTTATAGTTGTATTTCTAGTATTTTTACATCAAATTAGTGGAAAATTCAATACATATCCGGCATTTAATATAATTCAAAATAGTTTATTTTTAGATCTACTTTAAATAATGACAAAATACTTCCTCAATAACTATACATCAGTTTCATTATTAAAAATATCCTATATTAAAATAATGTCATAATTCTTAATTGAATAAACAAATACAGAATGAAAGAATATCTAATATATATATATATGAGGTTATTATGTAAATTATGTGCATGTTACTGTGAATGACCGAAATCGGTGGTTGTTNCTTATTCGTTATGTTGTACCGTAAAAACCATTGATACCATCAATGGTATCGTTATGTTGTACCAATGATGCTTAATTTTGGTAATTGGCCACACTGGCATCATGGTATAGTTTGTCTAAAGTAAGAACTCCCTTAGTCATTCGTCTGGACCCGTGACGGTGACTATGGTAACGAGGTATGTCTTTCAAGTAGGGGTGCGGGGTCACTGTTTGAGGTCGGTGAGAGAAAGGGTACCTTTTTCTTGTGTCTATGTGTGTTAGCCCTAGAGTGAAGAGAAGCTACACTTCCTGATATGCGCTATTCTTGTTTCCATAGCAGCAGGCGGCCTCAAACTTTGTAGAGGGGGGAGTTCTCACCCTAGACAAACTATAATTTGTGCAGTTTAAATAGGCATCAAATATATAGGTAAAACGTATTTTCGATCAAATTTGGTGCCTATACTGTACATTTTTATGATAGACTTCTTAAGGTCCCTCAAAGATATAATTACAGGGGAGAAAGTACGAAAGAAAAACAGGGGAGAAAGTAACTTGTCTGCGGTAAATTTTAAATACCATGAGTTGCCTTGCGCAACAGCATTATACCATTATAATGATATTGAAGACAGTCAGTCTTTATTTTTAGGGGATAAGCAACTAAAAATGCGTTTTTCTTGTTCCAATAACGCAAAGTCACCGCGAAAGGAAACAAATAATTAAAGCATTGCAATTATTTAAGCTTTATTAGTGTCAGTTTTGTGCACGGTTTTGTAGTGGTTTTTTTCAGTACTGATAAATTGTGATACTTTATTTTCTCACGGGTATTCAGCTAGTAGATAACAAAAGTAAAGAAAAAAAAAGAAAAAGTAAAAAAAAAAAAAAGAGAGAAAAAAAAATCGTTTTATCATAATTTATTGTATTATTGAATCGACATAAGTCTTCCAGTTTTACGTTTGATTTTAAAGTGTCATCAATAAAGTGATTCCACGATTTAAGGTTTTTATAGAGAAGGTTGTTTTCCAAGGTTTTGGATGAAGATAATGTCTCGTTTTAAGGTTAGAAGGTTCATAACAAACCTGTTTAGGTTTACATTGAAAGGTTTTTGTTGAGTGAAAATAAACCTTATTTTGCCGTTTGGGAAATCATTTTCATAACATTCATGATAAAATAAATAATAACACAACATGAGATGGCTAACCTGCTAGATAGATGACTGTACCAATCATGGCGATGAGTACCATCAGGAGGAGGAGAGTGGCCACAATCAGAAGCCTCCCGTTGCACTGTTTCTTAGAGTAGGACACATCATCATCATCATCACCGTCTCCCTTCTTCTTGGGGGGATTCAATTCAGTGTCATAAAAGGCTGGATTGTCTACCTGTAAAGATACCAATAAGTTAAACACCCTTTGTACCAAAATTAGTTTCAAGCCTGCAATTCAAAATTCAAATAAGCTTATAAATTGAATGTAAACTAGAAAATTGCTATTTAAGAATGATTCACATCCACTTTTATTTAAAATCTAAATTTTTTGTAACTCTGAACTTTTTCATGTTACGATTCGCGTTCGAGAGAACCTCTATTTTTAAAAAAAAACTAAAATTGACTTCGCGTTCAACTGCAGAACATTTTAACTCATTTAATTTTTCTCGTTTTATATTTACACTTCTTGCGATTCATTATAGCGATTGATTTTGAATTTAATTTGAATTTTTCTTTCTAGGTTTTTCAAATAACTTTAAAGTATAACTTATTCTACAATTTCTTCAGTTACTATATTTATTTTATATATTTGCAGACTATTTTTTTTTTTTTTTTTTTTTTTTTTTTTTTTTTTTTTTTTTTTTTTTTTATTATTTTAATCTATCATTATGTGTGTAATTTGCACGCTTAGTTAAATCTACTTTTTCTCGTTTATAGTTGTATTTCTAGTATTTTTACTAATGACAAAATACTTCCTCAATAACTATGCATCAGTTTCATTATTAAAAATATCCTATATTAAAATAATGCTATAATTTTTTATTGAATAAACAAATACAGAATGAAAGCATATCTAATATATATATATATGAGGTTATTATGTAAATGATGTGCATGTTACTGTGAATGACCGAAATCGGTGGTTGACTTTCACCGGTGAATGTTGACAATCACATAGTCGCTTTGGTGAATGTCCGAAATATTTATTACATCCGATTTGATACTAATTTATTCGTGCATATAATTACATTCATTCGATATTTTAATACTTTCTGACGATAGATTAGATGAAACATCAGTGTTTGGAGTATCGGGCAAATGTATACCGGGCAGTGGCACTTGACCTTAAAACAAACATCTGTGTAGGGTATACCGGGCAAATGTGTACCGGACAGTGGCACTTAACTAGACCTAGTATGACCTTTGGTAAAAGTCCGAAATATATGCTAGGTCTAGTTAAGTGCCACTGCCCGGTATACATTTGCCCGGTATACCCTACACTGATATTTTTATAAGGTTCAGTGCCACTTCCCGGTATACCCCACTCTGATGTTTTTTTAAGGTTCAGTGCCACTGCCCGGTATACGTTTGCCCGGTATACCCTACACTAATATCTTTTTAAGGTTCAGTGCCACTGCCCGGTATATATTTGCACGATACTCCAAACACTTTTGTCTCTTCTAATCTATCGTCAGTAAATATTAAAATATCGAATAAATGTAATTAAATCCACGAATAAATTAATATTAAATCGGGTGTAATAACGGACATTCACCAAAGCGACTATGTGATTGTCAACATTCACCGGTGAATGTCAACAACCACCGATTTCGGTCATTCACAGTAACATGCACATCATTTACATAATAACCTCATCAGGACGTTTATTTCATAATTTGCCTAAATAGCATCCAGCATTATATAGAATGCCTAGGCAATGTGTGAAATATAAATCATTTCATACTTTACCGGCTAGTTTTAGGCATTATATATATAACTACACACACACACAAGTAACTATGAAATGCATAATGCATGCAATAAAAAATAGGCAAAAAGGAAGTTACTTTTGTTATTTTTAAAAATAAAAATATTTATATAACTTATAAGAATCACCAAATTAAAAATATATTTATTTGTTGATAAAAATTCATAAGGAAGCATTAAGAAATAGGAGGATAAAAAGAAAGAAAAAAGTTTATTGTGACGTCATCCGACGTGTGATGTCAAAGTTGGTGAGACGGTGACCTTGTCGTCATGGCAACGACACAGCCACAAAACAAGGAGCAGTTAAATACTTGTTACGATAGAAGCCCCATCATTAATTCAAGGGTGAAACATTTTAATGACTTAAATAATTTCCCCCTCATTAACCAGGATGAAATATTTACATTTTCAGCAAGAAAAATTTAGATAATTTATTACTGTTGGAGCAACATTTCGAAACTCAAAGAGTCGGGGGATCAATTAATAGCATTGCGTGTCATTGTAAACAATAGAAGACCTTTTCCGAAAAAAGAAGTCGTATTGTTCGGCGTTTCGAACACCCTGATGATACGACAGTGTGTCTATGAAGATATTATCAGTTAATTGTGACTTCTCAGATGGCACCTATTATTGTTATTTTCAAAATATCATGACCTGTTGATAATTCAAGTTTAAATCACTTTTTTTTTCTTCGGTAGTTCAATCCTCGGCAGCATAAAAATTCAAACATAAAAACGTTTCTGAAACTTTATCAACTCAGACACTATTCGACCGATTCGATTCAAATGCATCATTTTCAAATCACCTTGTTTGAAATAATGCAAAGCTTTGCGTACGTTTCAAATCAAAATTTTAGGACACTTACTTAATAAAATAACAAATAGTAATTGAATATTACAGACAGCATTATTGAGAAATTATGATCGAATTATTATTGATTTGATAAACTAATATTGAAAATAATGTTTTGCGTGGAATTTTATAATATTTGGAACTTTATAATCGTGTCCAAAATGTTCTTCTAAAAAAATTCTGAAATATGGATTTTTAGGACATAAAGCAGGGTTGGAAAAAACCCGCCCGGGTTTTACTGAGTAAAATCCACTCTGAAAAACCTTAATGGGTTTTTCTAAAATCGATTTCTTATTTATCCTCTGTTATATTAAAGAGCTATTCTATTGAAATATGTATGTAATCTGGCCTAAAAAAATGAACGTATGGTGAAAAGACTAACTGTGTTTGGAATCACCTTGCTGGCTAGATTAGACTGTGTGGCCATTGATTAGTCAGTGCCTTTGATTCGCTTTCTATGCAAATTATAAAAAAGTGAAGATTAGTTTCAAGTGTGTGATGTATGTGAATACATATAACATTTTATATCGTGACGTCAGAAGAAACTTTATTCAGACTTTTGCACCAATTTATTTGCATTAATTATTAATTACACTTTAATTACCTATATGTTTAAGTCAATTCATAAAATTAAACTTAATTAATAACATTAAAAAAAGTTTTTTTTAAATAAGGTACTTCTCCCTGCTCTCTCTCTTTTGGAAAAAAAAACCCCAATAAAACATGAAAAGCCCAATAAAACTCCGAAAAACACAACCGGGTAGGGTTTTTCTAGAAAAACCCCGGGTTTTTTGCAACCCTGAGCAGAGAAAGTTCGGTTTTATTCCATAACTTAATTAACAATTAGAATTAAAAAATTCTCATATTAGAGGCGAACTTTTTCAACCATTAAGATTGGCACTCAATACATAAAAATATAAGTTATTTGGAGAGAGCTTTTTTTTTTTTTGTTCACTGTACATTGTGAGGAATATTTCGCTAAATGAAAATATTTTATACATGGGTAATGAGTTGAACACATATTGGAATTTCGTATATCATATAAATACTTCTAATTTCTTAAATCAAAAAATTTAATTGATTATGTTCGTTTTATATATCAAATAGAGTATTGAACTTCAAGTGAAATTTGAAGGCGATTTTCTGAAAATTTTTTCTTTAATAATAAAAAACTAATAAGATACTTGTTTACAATTCTTTAAATTCAATACTTTTTAACATAACACTATTTACAATTAATACCCAAACATATTAACAATTAATCAAAATTTACAGTATACTTAATGATATTTATCTTGATTACACTTTTTTACAGTAATTTTTAAGTACACAGTAATTTTACAGTAATTTTACAGTAAGTAGTAAAATTTAATGATATACAAATCATTTAAAAGCATATGATCATAAATGATATAAAATGGCCTACGTAGGTAGTAAAAGGTTTAAAAAATTTCTTAATGGTTATCCTGCAAATTGCAAAATTTTCAAATTTTGTGATAGCAGGGGTCTGTTTAGAAGAAATTTGGGTCCGTTAAAGGACCCTTCACAAAATATCTTTTCATAAAAACGGACCCTTCACAAATTTGTTTATCTTCATTATTATTTTGTTAATCGAATAAAGACATATGTAAACGCAACTAAATTTTGTCTTCGGCAGACGCTTCTTCCTTTATTCGTCCGAAATGAATATTCTGCGTTCGGCTAAATACCAAATATTTATATGTTGCATCGCTAATTTAGTAGCTGTATTTGCTGTTTATTTTTTAAAATGTAATTTCTTTTAATTATAATTTTACAATGTTGAGCATAATCTTGTATGTCTTTACAATTAAAAAACTCCTTGAAAAAGTTTTTTTGCAATAACGGACCCTATTTTCACAAATTCACAAAAGCGGACCCTGGTTGAAAGAATGAGACTTAACGTTATTTTATATTCACAAATTACGAGCAATTTTTTTCACAATTTCACAAAAACGGAAGTTTTACAAAATGTCTGGACAGACTCCTGGATAGTTTTATCTACTTGATCATGTAATAGTTCGGGCCATTAAATGAAGATTTAATTATTTTGTTTAAAGACTGTTCCTTAATTTTGAACATGCCAAATTGATTTTTAAAAACAGTCTTTCAACAGAAGCCGTTGTTGTGGGCAGTATTAAAGTTAGGGCAAATAACTTAATCAGTTTGAGAATTTATCCCAGATGGCGCTCTTCTTTTAATGATTTTTGAATCGCGTGAATACGAATATCAATGTGTTATTTTTAAATCGCTTGAATACAAATCGCTATGTGTGATTTTTAAATCGCGTGAATAAAAGACGCTATGTATGGTTTTTAAATCGCGAGAATACGAATCGAGATGCGCGATTTTTAAACTGCGAGAAAAAGACTCACAACATATGATTTTTAAAACGAGTGAATATGAAACGCGATATGTGGTTTTTAAATCACGTGAATATAAATCGCAATGTATGATTTTGTTGATTGCAACGTATGATTTTTTAAATGCTAAAATACTAATCGCGATTTGTGATTTTAAATCTAGTGAATCTAATTG